TGGAGGAAGCTAGTTGACATCCTGTCTACTTGAAAAAGAAAACTGAAAGTGCGTTTTTCCACGGGAAGCAGTTGTAGTGTTTTCCTCTTTCTTCCTAACCCCACAGGTACAGGTACGGTGAGGTTTCTCCAGTACTAGGAGAGAAGTATGGGGAGGAGGGTGGAAGAAGGAAGGGCCTGCACTGATCTCTGGTCTTCGCTCTTTGTTTAATGGGGGGACTGCCTCGGCCCGCCCCAGGGACCGCTCTGCTATTCCATCTGAGTCCTGGTGATAGTAAGCTCTCTTTTCTGGCCATGGAAACGCATTCCTGTGTGGATATGGAAAGAGAGAAAGCAAGATAGAGCCAGAGCTAGTGCAGGAATGTGAGTACTTCCTTAATTGGACAAGAGAACCTTGAACTGGTTCCAGTTGGAGTGTTTTCTTTTAGGGCCTGGACCCTAAAAATTCCACAGAGTTTTTTTTTTTTTCCTTAAAAAAAAATCCATGTGGTTCAAAGGCCCCTTGATAGAAATAAAGAAAAAGTTAGGGCTGAGTCTTTTTGATGTTTGGAAAGTCAAGATGGGCAGCCAGATTCCAGGCTGCTTTGGGGCTAAGAGGGCTCTGGATGGAGATGGGGAGGCACCTCCTAGGTGACCCATGGCAGGAGGACTGCCAGCCTTTGTCTTGGGCCTGAGTCCTGAGACTAAGCACTTTTCTCGGAGCATTTATAGAAACAGTTTCTCTGAGACTTATCAGTGCCCTGAGAGGAGAAAAAGAGACTTCCACCCCTGCCTTGATTGCTTTAGGACTCAGAGAGAGAGAGGTCAGGGATCTTCCCCAGGACGAAGAGCAGTGACACAAAGGCTGCAGGATTTTGTCTGTGAGCGTGCCTTGCTTCGTGTCGTGTGGTTGACTCCTGATTTCTAGTGGCTGAAGTGAGAAAGTGGGCTCGGACTCTCAGACCTCTGTTGCCATCGTGTGCCCCTCCTGGGAGTTACTGGAGAAGGAAGAGTAAAAATGCTGGGGTACGGGGACCACAGCAGTGGCCACCAGACAGGGCAGCACTACTTGCCTCTGAAACCTGCCCTGTACAGCCCAGGGACTCCAGGGGGAAATGGGACAGACTGTGACTGAAGCGAGTAAAGCCTGAAGCGGATGAATTCACTCTCCTGATCTCCCCTTTCCCCCAAACACCTGAAAAACAAGCCCCATGTCTGCTCAGTGCTTTCCAATCTACCAACTGTTTTCACAACATTATCTCATTTCGTTCTCACATCAACCCACACACATTCTTGCTGTTCAGATTTTTTATGTACTCAAATGAGTTGCACTGAAAAATTGGTCAGAAACTCCTTCTCCTACCCACTCTTTTTTTGTTGTTTTTTTAAACCCTAACCCTTTGACTGATATCTTTAAGAAGCTCCTGATTCCCAGGGTGGGGATCTTGCTTATTCTGCCTGCTCTGCCCTTACTGGATAGATATGAGGAGTGCTGGTCTTTGCCATTGGAACTCACACTTCTATACTCAGTTCATAGTCTAGCTGATAAAACAAAGCAGAGACCATAACTTCGGCATTCTAGGGAAAACAGGCTTTGGAACCAGTGAGCCCCAGAGTCAAATTTTGGTTTGACCATTTGAGAGCGATGTGGCCATGGTCAAAGATACTTACCCTCTAGAACCTCGATTTTTCCGTCTGTGAAGTGGAGCAATAGTGCCTATGTCTAAGGTTGTTGTGAGGCATAAACATGATAGCAGATAGGAGTGTGGCTCAGCAAATGTGGTCCTTTCCCTTTCTCTATTTTTCTCCCCGTGGTCAAACAGCTACTCTGTGAAGTCCCTTGTAACTAGCCTAAAGCTGGCACTAAAACCCTAAAGTACCAGTTTCTCTGCTGCTAGGCAAATGTAGTACAATACTGCCTTTTTGCAAGCCAAAGAGAGATACAGTGTGGTATGTGACGCTAAATGAATTTAGATGGAGACTTCTTTTTTAACTAGATTAATAATGAGCTATATGTCTTGCCTACATAGCTCAGTTCCAACTGAGGCAAACCTAATAAGATCTTAAATTCATTACCTTTATTCTTTTAAAATGTTATTTTAGGCAAGGGAAGGAGGGAGCTGGAAAACCAAACTTATGCAAAGTTGGAAAGCAAGACAATTCTGACTCTACCTAGATTTTTATTGAAGCTGAATTACAATTCAACCTTTTGGTTCCTCGGGACAAAGGTGGCAGAAGGGAGGTAGGGCAGAGGACTCTGGCTAGGTACTTAGTTCCCTGATCTGTATGTTGTAGACAGTTCTCAATAATGTTGGCGAGCCATGACATGGGTTAGAGTACAGATCTTGTGTTTGATCTTTGCAGCTAACTTCTTGGCAAATGTAGTGCACGCTGTAGTGTTATGGTGGAAAGAACATTTGACCAGCGGTCTAAAGGCCCAAGTTCCACCTACACCACTTAATAGCCTGGTGACCTCAGGCATGCCATTTAATCTGTTCAGTGTCTTCTCAGCTGTAAAATGAGACAGGAATGGATGATGTGAAGGTCTCTTTAGCTCTAAGGTTTTGGGGCTCTATCTAAGTGACTTCACTCGATTGTGTGTGTCTGTTCCTTCATTTATTCAAAGGCAGGAGGTATTGAAACCTATCTCACTGGGCATCAGGAAGACATATTTTCAAGTTTAAATGCCCTGGGTCCTAAGAGAAACAAAGAAAAGTTGGTGAATAGAGCAATCTAACAGACTGGGATGCTCAGTGTGTGAGCAACCTGTGAGTTGCAGCCCCAGCCTGGCCCTTTGTAGCTGAGTGATCTTTGCCACGTTCTTTAAGTCATTTCAGCTGTAGGTCACACATCTGTAATCTGAGGACTCTAAATTAAGCTAAGTTAAACTTACCACATTCTTTTGAAAGCTAAGGTAATGACAGTGCTTTGAAAAGCTGCAAGGCACTATGTAAAGTGTTAGTGAGAAATAGCATGCTTGCTACAGTTCAGCCTACCATTTCCCAAATGTATGAATGTGTCACCAAGGTCTTAGAGGACAGACAGAAAATATAGATTTGGGGATCACAACCCAAGGTTTATTTTCCACTCCAATCTATTGACAGTTGAAATGTAGCTAAAACAGGCATTTATACAGTTTTCCACACAGTAGGCATCAGGTAATGACTTCAGTGTCCGCCGGTGTAGGGAATCTCCCAGAGTTCACTGTTGCCCTATTTCCCATCCTCTTCTCCCGAAGGAGCTCATTTCCACTTAAGGCATGGAGTGTGTTGGGGGAGGACAGGTTTCTAAGTTTTCAGAGTTTCACTAGGCAATCATCACAAATCTGTAAAGTCTGTGTGTTGTGTATCAGTGTGGGGTGGCAGCCTTTTGTCCTCCCAGGCCTTGCCAGGGTTTGCTCCTGGGAAGAGATAGAAGGCTTCTGTCTGCAAGTCCCAGCCTGGAAACCAGCTCGGCAGGCCCTGGCTTCCATGTGGCTCCCCCTACCCCCACGACATGTCACACCCAGACAACCACACTGAGATGTCCCACCCTCTGTGACAGGCATGGACAGCCTCTCTGTCCAAAGTAACCCCAGTCCCACAGTGGCTCCTGGTGGTACCTGGACATAAAAGCGTGACCCTCCCTCAGGACACCCCCCAGAGGGGTGGAATGCAGGCAGTACCTGGGGCACCAATGGATTCCTGTTTCAGCTCCGGGGGTAGGGGCAGCCTACTGAATTTTTCTTTGGAGGGACAGCTTATCATGAAGTCCTGGTTTACTCAGGTTGTCTATATGAATATTGGAAATAGCAGTGTTATTTTAATGTATTCTTATTGTCTTTACTGGAGCCAGTTTGGGAGAGTGATGACCATTTTGAGGGCCCCTTCTCCCAGCAGCCTTATGGTCCTGCCTGTTAAACCATTACCTTTGATCCCATCATCCTTTTTCCTGAAAGCTCTGCAGGTCCTCTTTTGTGCACATAGGCATGGATTCAATGCGTTCATGGCCCGTCTTGCAGAGCTGACTTACTTCCAAGCTGATTTAACTTTGCTTAGTTGTAAGGCCACCTCGCCCCATTCCCCAGCCCTTGGTCAAGGTTATGAGGCTGCTGTGTGGGGATAACTGAAGTAGAGGTCACTCGGTCTGGGGCTTGCGCGGCTGGGCCGCTTCTGCAGACCCTGGAGCGGAGCGAGCGCGGTGTTTGGTCATTGAGGCGCGTTCATCTGAAGGCCTCCGTTTCTGCTATCACAGACTGACTCCCTGGGCAGATCCGGAGCAATACTTGTGCACCGCCCACTGCAGCCCCTAAATCCACCGCGGACCGTGTGTGTGTGTGTGTGTGTGTGTGTGTGTGTCTAACGGAAAAAAAATCCAGTACGACACCACATCCTTTCTCCCCACAGGCAAAACGGATCTCAGGGCTGCAGACCAGTCCACTGCAACCCAACTGGTCCCCGCGGGCAGTGGGCCCCAGCTCCGCGTCTCTGCCGCCTCCCTCTGGCTGGCGCGGGATGGAAATGAGGATCGCGGTGGCACAGGCGATGATTCGGAGGGAGAGGCCTAACTGGGGGATGACCACAGAGTGGGGTCTGGAGGTGCGGGCTGGGGGCCGCGCCGGCCGAGGGGGCGCGGCGCCGGGTGCCTGGGTGGAGGAAGGGCGCCCTCCCCCGGCGCAGCGCAGCCCAGCCGCCGAATGGTCACGTCCGGCTCGGCCCTAACGCCCACCGCCGCCGTGGAGTCCCCGGTGTGCACAAGGAGGGGGCTGCGGAAGCCAACGTGTTCGTGAGCTGAAAGCGGCGCTGACACTGAAGTCCGGCCCGGGTGCGCGCGTGTGCGTGTGCTTGAGCCGTGGGGAGGGGGCCGGGCCCGAGCGGCAACAAGCCACGGGCGCAGAGCCGCGCGCGCCCCCAGCCGCGCCTGCCTGCGGGAGCTGCGGGGCGCTGAGGCCATTCATGATTTTGGTGACGTTATTCCAGCAGTGGGCGAAAGGGGGCGGGGCCTCGCGGGCCAAGCCCCGCCCCCGCCCCATAAATGCTGCCTCCCTGGCTCTTTGTGGGACCGCGAGCTCGGCGGAGAGCGGGGCTCGCCGTCTGCATTCCGACGCCTCTGGCCGCGGGGCCGTCTCGGGAAGGCGAACCCGCGAACGCCCAGCGCCCACGCTCTGCGTCCGTGTCATTTTCATTCCGGACACAGCGACCGTTTTTAAATCACAAGGGCGTGGGTCAGCCTCCCCTAGGACTTCATGTCTGTATATTTCCCCATTCACTGGTGAGTATCCAGAGCCTGAGGCGGGCCCCAGTCTAGCGGCTGGGTAGCGGGGCTCCGGGGGGCGGTGCGGGCATCCGGCGCCACCCCTCCGCCCGAGCCCCTGCAGGAGTCAACGTCAAGGTTGCAAAGGTGGGGGTGGGGGGAGGTGGTGCTGAGAGCATCCAGACAAAGGAAGTGAACTCGGAACCTCCACTGAAGTGACGGCCGGAGGCTGTGTGTGTGGTGGCGGCGGGTGGGTGAGCCAGGGGTCCCGCCTGAACGACCCTAATGACACCCTGTATGCCGAGGGTGCCCTGCCTGGCGGTGGGGGCTCCGGCTCTCCCAGGACCCCTCCTCTTTTTCTTTTTCTTTGCATGCAAGTCTCGGCGTCGAGGCCGGCTGCAGGGCTGGGCGGGGGAGAGGAAAGAGGCGGCGGCGGGGGGGGGGGGCTGGTGCAGCCGCGTCTTTTGCAGAGCTCCGGGGGGTGAGAGGAGGGAACGCGCACCCCACACGTAAGCTACAAGCAGCAGCGCATACGCTGCATCTTTTCGACCCCCTGTCCCCTAAAACAGACTCGCCTTTGTGGGCTTCAGGGGTGGGGAGGAGCCGCCCTCCTTGTGAGGAGCTGTAGGGAGCCGAGACCGGGCAGGAGACAGGTTTGCCCCTAGACGGGAAGGATGCGAGGAGAGGCCCCTGTCTGCTGGGACGCGCGCGCCTGCTGTTTCTTCTTTCCTGCGCCGGGTAGAGAAGCAGCGGCCCGAGCGCGCCTTTGGTGCGGCGATGTGGTGCCCGGTCCCCGATCGGATCGCGGAAGGCGCCCAGCCGGGCAAAGCAGGGCTTCCAGCCGGGCGGTGCTTCCTAGCCCAGGAACCGGAAAGTTCTTGCTTTTCAACTTCCAACTTTTGGGGCCCGCGCCACAGCCCCGGGGCGAGGTCCGAACGCCCCTAGGAGGGGCGAAGAGCCTGGAGCGCGTTCTCCGGGTGTTCCTCGGCCCCCTTCTTTGGGCCTTGGGCGCCCCTTTCCATGACCCCAGAGGAAACTGCCATGAAGATCCCAGGTCCTGAACCTAAACTTGCCCCCAAACATACTCTTCCTTGGTCCCCGGGCGCGCATACCAGCCTGGCTCTGAACTCTCAGAACAAAGCCAAACTCCCCCACCCTAGAGGCTCTTTATGTTTCTTCTCTGAGCGTCTCCATCTCTCTCCCTAAGGTGTGCGGCAGCCAGCTGCCTGAAGGCTGAGTCTTTGAAGGCTGTGATCAGAATTTCATAGTTGGCAACACTTTCCCAGCCGTTAGCCCCTCACATAACCGTGAGAGGCCCATCGCTGGCATCTGAGTGACACAGGGCTGTGGCCAAGAGAGGTTATGTGACTTATTCAAGACCACACAGCTCTCGGGCAGCACAGCCTAAACCAGAACCTACCGCTTCTGCTTCCAAATACAATGCCATTTCTACTCTGTGTAGTGATTGAAAAATGAAGGGGCTTCCGGTATTCCTGTTGCCTTAGTTATAGTCTCTCTCAAGCCTTACTTTTTTCCTTTTCCTTTTTCTTTTTCAACGACAAGCACAGACACAATGGTAAAAAAATACTGGCTGTTGTGTAGTTGGTTCTTGGGTTTGCTGTGTGTATTTGGCATTATGCATACAGGATCCCAAGTGTGCCGATGGCTTGTGCAAGTTGCAAGGATAATGGAACGTTTGTGTCTTGCTTAGAGAGTACAAAGCATTTTCACGTGTCAGCCATTGGTGGGCCAGCTTGGCCCCTCTGGAAATTTCCTCTGCAGTCAGTGTCCGGGTATCCTTAAGGCTTTAATCCACGGGATGTTTTTCAAGCTGTGAGCTTGCAGCTGCTGCGGCTGGGGCTGGAGAAGGGGGCTGGATGGCAGATGTGAAGCTTGCAGAAAAGCTGAACCCTTGGGGCTTTAAGTGGGACATTCTGCCAAAAGGAGCACCAAACAGACATTTAGGAAGGCAGCAGGATTTGGACTTTGTCTCTCTGAGGCTGGCCTGTAACTCTTATTATGTAATAATAATATGCAGTTCCTCTTTGGAAATTCATGGGAGGATTACTTGTATTCTTAGGCGGAGAGCTGAAAGGAGACTTGGCGGAATTGGTTTTAATATAGACACATGGATTCAGCTACCCACTGTCATGCTTTTTTCTTTTGCTACTAGTCCTGACCTTTAAAACAAAATGCAGGGTTGCCCTGTGTCCAAGCAGCTGTGGTGTACAGACAGTGGGGGGCAGAGCTGGGTTGCAGGCAGTGGGCTGGGTTGGGGGGCTGGAGTGGGACCCCTGTGATATGGACCTTGAAGGTGCTTCCTTACTAGGGTGGGGGCTTGTGTGGCTGTGAGCTCTGTTTAGAGCACCTCACATCCTGTCTCCAGATTGTCCCCTGAGCTTGAGGCAGCAAAGCCACTGAGAGGAATGTGAAAGTATGTTCGTCTGTTGATTTTGCTCTGGGTTTCTTGGCAGCCCTGACTATCTGAGATCAGCCGAGATGACTGAGGTGATGATGAACACCCCATCCATGGAGGAGATTGGCCTCAACCCCCGGAAGGATGGCCTTTCCTATCAGGTGAGTTAAGTACTTGCTGGGGTCCGAGGAGGCAGGCTTCGTTTTTGCATCTCACTGCTGCCTGTAAGAATGGTGTGACCTGGAGAATGTTCCCTATTGCCAGTAAGCCTCAGTTTCTTCTTCTGTAAAGTGGGCCAACTATAGCCCCCCTCCCATAGGATTGTGGTAAAGATTCAGTGGGACAAAAGGATGGATTTAAGGCATTGGTGGTGTCTGGGACACACACATAAGGTCCAGCAGACATTAGCATTGTTATTAATGGGCCATCCTGGTTTTATGGACTCACCCACTCACAGCAGCAAGAGTGGAAGAGATTGGAGCAGTCAGTTCAGACAAGAACTTCCCTGCCCGGCTGGGCTTTGGGCAGCAGGAATGTGGCGGGGAGTGGTAGCTCACAGGCAAAGGTGGCCTCGTAGGGAAATATCTGTGTCAAACACTGCTTGCCTCCTCTGGTTAATGATTGAGCAGCTGATACAGAGTTGATGTTCAGTCTATTTAGGGTTGAAGGGGAAGCCATCTCAGGGATGCTGTTGCCAGAATTGAGCTTAGAGATCATCCTCTCTGGTGGATACAGAATGCACAAGGACCACAAAAAGGGGCCAGACTGACATCTTTGCATTCTTACTCTGCGGCTCTTTCTGGCTTGCCATGCCCAGCCCACGACTGAGCATTTCATTTACCTCCAGGGCACTGAACTCGTTTGGGATTGTCCAGTAGAGTTCCAAGGCTGCTACATTTGGAGGGAGGGAGCAGTGTATTTGTCAGGGAAGACTTTGGGGCTGCCTCAGGGAAGACGTGGGGCTGGCAGGAAGTGCACTCATGCTTCGGACCAAGTATGATACATATAGCACCTTCTCTACTCTTCGCCAGGGCTGCAAGGTGGGACTTCTCATCCACTGCACAGACCTAGACATCATCTGAGCCTGAGTCAGGGACTTGTGTCTCTCCAACCTGGGGTGTCATGTGTTCCCACCTTCTATAGAGTTACTTGGCTGGTCATTCCTTAGAGTTGCTCCAGAGGCATTTGCTTTATAAAGAAAAAACAAACAGAAAGCCAAAGTGGGTGCAGTAGGGTGATCAAAGAGAACCAAGATGAAAGCCAAGGTTGAGAACCAGCTTTAGACACACTTTGGGAGGTCCAAGGAGGCCCCTTTGTTTTGTGTCAATACAGGCAGGCCCTTCTTGTTGGCTGCAAATAAGTATTCCATTAGCACGCAGTGGGGAGCAGGTAGAGGGAAGAATGCTCTTTTCTGGGCTTATTTCATGCTCTCCTCCCCTGAAGGGAGTCTGAGGCTCACAGTCACTTGAGGGTCCCCCCGCAAAAAATTTCCTCGCCCACCTGCCCTGGTGTTTTGGAGACCAGTTTCCAAGCCTCTGAGTCAGACCGAATCTCTTCATGGTTGCAGGGGAGATTTTTCTTTCAGTTCTGGGTTTTAGATTTCCACCACAGAACCTTTCCATATGCATTCATCAGTGTGTGTTGGGTGTGCTTTCTCCACTCCTTTTAATCATGTCCCAGGGTAATGGGGCTGGCATTTGGGGGCAGTTTCCCTAGCCCTTTGAATCCACGAGGCTATTCTTCTGGATCTGAGGGTTAGTGCAGGTGACAGAGGAAGGCCGCCTTGGGGTGCCAGTGGCAGGGCTGAGGGTGGAATAAAGTCACACGTGGGCTCCTGAGGTATCTCAGTGCTGCCTGAGAAAAAGAGCCTCAGGTCTTCCATTGTGGTGCTGGACTGAGGGCTCAGATCTCACAGCCCTCAGAAATTCTGTCCTTGCCTCCAGGTGGGCAGGAGCTATTGCCCAAGGCCAAAAGATCTTACTTCAACCTTATCTCGTGCTTCTTACAAGATGGTCTCTGAAAGGTTCTTCATTGCCTGATGAAGAGGGAGAGGTTGTAGTGTGTGTGTGTGTGTGTGTGTGTTGTTTGTTTTGTTTTGTTTTTGTGGTACTAGGAATCATACTCAGAGCCTTTACACTGAGCTACATTCCCAGTTCTTTATTTTTATTTTTATATTTTGTTTTGAGATAGGGTCTTGCTAAGTTGCCAAGGTGGAACTTGGCAGCCTGGTCAGTCTAGGTGTGGGCAATACAGAAGCCACGGCCAATCCAGGTTTGGGTGGCAGTGATGAAATTGCAGTTAAAGAATCTGGAAAGACATGGAAGAAGGAAGTCAGGGTAGGGCTGGGCTTTGAAAGAAATAGAGGACTTTGAAGGAGCAATACTATCTCTCAGTTTTGTTGCAACTTCCAAATATCCCTCTGCTGGGCTCTGTTTATGGCGAGTGTGGGGTTGTGTGGTGAACTGGTCTGACACTTGTCCGGTGATTATTTTCAGGGTCCATTGAAAGCTAGTAGCATCCAATTGAAAGCTTTCCCACCGGAGCTCCGAGGACTGGTTGGGCCTGGCACTTGGATCAGGTCACTGTGCATGCTTGGGCTTGGCTCAGAGCTGGGGGTGGGAATCACAGAACTTTGTTCTTGACTTTACTCCTGAGGATAATAATAGTATGTGGCTTTTAGTGAGACCTGTTTTTCCAAGGAACTGAGAGAGGGAAGGAGTCATCAGTCCCAGCTTGGTTGATGAAATAGAATCTCAGGCTCTCGATTTGTCCTTGAGACAAGGTCAACAACTAAATGGCCCATTGGACTTTGTTAGTCATTCACCCACCTTCCATACCAAGAATGAAGCCTTCCTAATTTCTCCATGTTCAGTGTGACCTTTCTTTCACTGCCTGTAGCTTTTTGTACTTTGGATGCTGGGCTGGGCTTCAGGGATGCAGGTCCTGCCTTGCCTTCTCCTTGGCTGGGTCCTCAAGGGCAAGGGTTGCCCATCAGCTTCGTACCCTTCAGCCATCAGCTGTCTGGCGGTACCTTCATAACAGGTGCAAAGAGGACAGTGGGTGACTCTCCTGATTGGGAAGCTGGCCACTTTCACTTCGGAAGAGCCTGCTCAGGCCCATGGGACTCAAAGCTCAGGTGACACATGTCCTTCTTATCCCCCGAAAGATTTGGATCAGCCCCATCTACTGCCCTTTGGTCATTAGTGCCATTCTGCACACATACATGAAAATCTTCAGAGCGGGTACCTTGTTTTCTCCTCATAGCTTCTTGGAAGGTTAGTCAAACAAGTGAAATCCACGTCTGTACATTTGTTTGGCCCAAATTAAGACACCCTGCAGAGTGCTTACTAGAAAGCCTGAGTGTATTTTGGATGGGCCGTGGGTGGCAGTCAGCTCTCAGAGCCGAGCAAGAGGTCTCTGTGAGGATGTCTGTGTCCCTGAGGGGGCAGCTCCTTCATGACACCGTGTCTGTGGGCCTCCGAGCCATCAGACGGTGGGATAGGAATGTCTGCTGTCCTTTGGAAGCACATCAGCAGCTGCCTGGTGGCGCCTGCTCCCTCCTTGGCCCTGGGACTTGGAGAATGTAGTGTTTGGCAGTGCATCTCCAACAGGGTCTCCTTCCACGCTGTGCCGGCATTGGTCTGGGCTCTGGATGGGGAAGGGTCTTGGGAGTTTGCCTGTGGGCGCTCACACTGCACATCCGCAAGGGGCCTGGGATTCTGGCCTTGCTGGCTCCCTCCCTCCGGCACAGCATGAAGAGGCTTTAAAGTCTTATCATCCATGCCAGGGTCTAGATGCAGCGATGGCTCTATGGTTTTCATTTAAACTCGTCCCTTCTAAATTGTCTGGAACAAGGTCTGATAGTGCTCTCCTTCCCTTGGGTATGTGAATCCCGCTCTGACCAGCACACATCCCTGACTGGCTGCCTTGTATCCATCTGCTGTTACTCTTGGTCACACACACCTGCTGCTTGACATCGTCTATCAGGCGGGCAGGCAGGCTTCAGGCTCGCCTTCTCAGGAAGATGAGGGAAGCTGCCTTGCCAGCCAGAAGGAGCAATTTCTTCATGCTCCTTGGTGTTCTGGGCCCCACACACTCCTTTTGATCTGAGCTAAGCTTCCTGCATTGCCCCTTCCTCTCCCAGGGTAAAGGGAATGACAAAAGGTAGCAGGAGGAACCACAAGTGGGTTGAGCTTTCTCCAGTCTGCCTATTATAAGCTTTGCACATTCCCAGTGCCTCAGCCATGGGAGAGGACTGCAGGGCTCATGAGGGCTGAAATCTGGCCTCCCCTAGGACAGTATCTCTCGCCCCTACTACCTCTGGGGTCCAGCCACAGCCAGCCCTTTCTGCCTCCTCCTCTTCGTCTCTCTAAGAAGCCTCCGCAGAGTCCCTGGAGTTAGGCAGAGCTTCACAAACCCCCCTCACTCACATCTGTGAGGGGCCCATCTTCACAGAGACCTGAGCCTGGCTTCGCTGTGCTGTGTCCTCAGGTACAGCGTGCATGGTGGACATAAGGGATGGGTTCAGCTTCCTTTGATCCTGGGTTAGGCCCTAGGGAGGTTCGCTGTCCTGGGCCCTATCATGAGGCCACTCTGGGCGTGATTTAGCCACTGCGAGGCTGCCCTCCTGCCTACTCCCCTGTTTCATCAGTGCCCCAGCTGTGGTACCCCACATGCCCTCCAGAGTTTCAGAGGCCCTGCAGAGCAGCTGCAACGCAAGTCCCGTGGTCCCCAGGAAATCATCTTTCATAACATCAGACTTAAAAAAGCCTCACTGGTCCCCGGAGAGACATAAAGCTAAAATTCCAAAGCACTTGGCAGGAGATGGCCAGCCACGGACACACGTTACTGGCCTGGAGGCAAGTTTTCCTTTTCCTGTCTCGACTCTTTCCACCTCTCTCCTTGCTAAAAAATCACAGTAATGTGATGGACAATGGGCAGTGAGGGCCACCAAGTTGAGCAGCACCAGGAATCTGACTCTGGCTCTGGCTGCTTCCGAGCCACCATCTGCCTTGTTCAGACCAAGTCCACTTTGTCTGAGGACCAGCAGCTTCCCTCCCGAGCTGGAGGCCTGGACACAAAGTCACTTTCAGCGTTGGGATTCGGGCCTGCGGAGAGCTGGAATGGTCCCCACGGGACCCCCTCCCTGTACCCACGGTTA